CTAACAAAGGCTTCCTGGCACCAAAATAATTGGAAATTTTGGATGGGCTCCAAGGTACATATGCTCATCTTCCATTCTGCATTGAATAGGATTGTGATTACCACATTATGACCCTAGTAACACTACCCACAAACAGGTCACAGTGAGAAGAAAACTAAAGCAGTATATTCATAACAGTTAGGGAAGTGAGCACATATTGATTTGCGAATTTTGTCAGTAATTACTCATGCTGCCTTTGACTTCACCAGGGGTAAATCTAATTGAAAAAGATTTTTGCTCTTTGCGCACTTTGCTCTTCCATGATTGCTAGTAGGGGCATCCTAATCAGGTGTAATTAACAACATAGTTTGCAATGATACAAATAATTATTAAAAAAATTCAAGAGTATGACCTCATTAAAGATCACTGGGTAGAAGGTAATGTGATTGCAGAAGAGAAATCTAATTTAGAAACTACACACAAATTGAAAATGACTATGAGAAACATTTCTGAAGGCTCCTGGGCAGGGAAATAAGACTCTCTTCCTGGGTGGGCACACTACCTTACTTTTCTCTTGGAGAACTGCCATAAAAGCAAGCACATGTTTTATAATCTGGTGTGAAACAGTAATTTAAAAATTTAAAACTATATAGATATATATGTCTATCTATTAAGCATGCTTATTTTCCAGAAGACATTTTAATTAGCCCAGAGTTAATATCCTAGCCTCTTTTTGCATAATTGAACTAAATCAGTACAAGAAGTGGATTGTTTTAGCAGTAAACTATACTTCACAAGTTGATGTAAAAGTGGTTTATTGAAGCCATTCACTCATAATTGAAAATATCCAGTTGACTGCTCTCCAATATAAGACCAGCACTAACCTGCAGCAAAGACGCCATCTGATGGTGCATTTCAGAAACACGTATATGGGGATACTACCTCTCTGTGATCATATCCTGCCATGAGACCCAGAGACAGAAATTGCCCAGTGTTGACTGTATTCTCAGGACAGGGTCAGGTGACATGGAGACTCCCAAACTGCTCTTCAGCATGCCAACTGTTCAGTAGCTACGAACAAAAGTCTCCATATTTAAGCTGTTGACTCCTGAAGCTAGTATATCTAGACTCTTCAAAGTTGTTACATCTTGTAGTTTAAAGGAGTCTGAATGGATGAAATAATGACTAAATTACCAAACTAGGAGACTGCTCAGTGAGTGAAGTGCGAAGTGAGCAAGCCTGATGACCCAAGTTCAGATGCCTACCAGCCACTAAAAGCTGTCTTAGAAGCACAAGCATCTTTAATGCCAGCATTCCCCATCAGGGAGACAGAACAAGAAAATAGGGGAACCAGTAAAAGCTTGTGGCTAGCTAACATGATGATACAAGCAGCAGCAAAAAACAAGGAACCTGTCTCAAACAAGGTGAAAGTTGAGGACTGATGTAACACCTGAGGTCGTCCCTCTGACCTTCATACACCGTGTCATGCATACTCTCACAGTCACATACACACACATATACAAATAATTATTATGCATTTTATAAAAGCAGATGTAGATTTCTCTAAAAGCAAACTGCTCAGAAAAATCAATTGCAGCAGATTGTAGAAGATGGTCTCTTTGAAAATTTGAATTTTCACATGGGGCATTTATCTATATCACAACCCCCATCCTCCAAATGCTCAAGGATCATGATGGAAGGGGCTGTGGAAAGATTATAAGAGTCAAAGGTGATGGGTGACTTCAGTGAGACAGTGCTATTGCATCAAGCGATTGTGACTCAATGCCCAATACCTGAGCAAGATGGGGGTATGTGACAAAGTCCCATTTCTAGCTGAGGATCTATTGGAAATCGATGGCTTCTGGGAAAGAGAGTGTGTGTGTTTTCTTCAAGGAATGGATTCTGGAAGGATACCCATGCTGCAGTAATGGCTCTGCACTCATGCACACATAGTCAGTACTAAATGGACTCTGGGTTTAAAAACATAATACATTTAACTAGGAAGGATAGTGGCAGAGGGACATGGGAGTATTTGGAAGGGAGGTAATGGGGTTAGATTTAGTCAAAATATATTACATACATAAATGGAATCTTAACAATAAAATATTTTAACAAAATGTATGTTTATTAAAAGGTGTTAAATATTAATAAAATGTATAACTTTTAAAACTAGATAGTTTTCACAAATTAAATCTTAGGAAGTAAGTTAGTTCTCTCTCTCTCTCTTTCTCTCTCTCTGTGTGTGTGTGTGTGTGTGTGTGTGTGTGTATGAAGATTATCTAAAGCCAGTGAGTGACACTGGTCAAAACAGAACAGAAAGAGGAAGGTGCTGAGGATGGAAAACTCATGCCATAAATCACCCAGACAAATGTGGCTCTAGGCACTGGGCATTCAGAGTCACCTGTTTTTCCAGAGAAGATACTGGACCAATGTGATGACCCTGATGTGGCTGTGCTGCATTAGTGCCTCTGCTCCTAGGGAATGGAGGTGGGGAGACATGCACTGTGACTGCTACAGGGACTTTGCTCTAATCCATTCTTATCTCCCTTTGGAAAATGCATGAACTTGTCTACCTTTATTAATCTTCATGAAGTGCTGAAGCCTATGCCAGTGGGTACATTCCAAAAATCCTACCCTGAGGCTTGGCAGTGTCTGCTTTTTACTCCTCACTAGGCTCCTGTTATTATACTCTGCTCCTGCTGCACTGTTCAATGGCATCCATGGATACAACTATGATTGCAACTGCAACTCCTACATCCTGCTCAGTCAATTATGAGCTCTTTAAAATACAGAGCTGGAGAATGGAATGGCTGAGACCATTTCGGGAAAGAGGCTTACTGTGGGGTCTTGACTTACAGACATCTAAATGTGTAACAAGGCTAAGAGAGTTAAAACAGCATTCATCTGGTACAAGGAAAGTACCAGTGAATACAAGACTAAGCAGTGGGATACAGGAAAATGGCAGGCGTAGTACATGCCCAAGTTAATGCAAACTATCTGCATACAAAACATAGTATTATTATCTTGGAGTGGTACTGTTTTGGGTTCTTATGATTTTGATTTACATTACATTAAGAGGCAGAAATAGTCGAAAAATTAACCATAAAAGGTAAACCATAAATTGGAAAAATATTGAAGCTATAGAAAACATATTAGCAGTATTAAATATAACTTGATTAACAATAAAACCATCCAAAATTAATATCAGAAAAACTAAGAACATAAAGCTAGCAAAAATACTGGGTGGAGAAAGAAACAGAAAAATGTACTTTATAATTTCAAATCGTTAAAATAAAAAGTAATAGACAGTAAAATTACTGTGGATTCAATCAGTTGGGCATTCTCATGCTGCCTTATTTTTTGGATGTGCCTATGTGTGTGCTGTGCACATGCTTATGTGTATACAAGTATGTGGAGGTCAGAGGACAACCTCAGATGATTTTTCCTTAGACTCCATTTGCTTCTTTTTGAGACAGGGTCTCTTACGGTTCTTGGATTTGCTAGGTATCCTGGACAGGCTGGTCTAGTGATCCTCACAGGTCTGTTCATCTTCCCCTCTCAGCAGCACAGATAACACAGTGAGTGCAATCCCTTAGCTTCGTTTTCTATGTGTCCTTGGAATTGAAAGCAAGTTTGTTTTGTGTGTGTGTGTGTGTGTGTGTGTGTGTGTGCGTGTGTGTGTGTGTGCGTGTGTGTGTGCGCGTGTGCATGTGTGTATTACTGAGCTCTTTCAAGCCCTCAAAATATGCCACTTTAAATGATATCACAGGCCCAGTATCTTATCTGAAATCTCTAGAGATGTAATTTGGGCTTTGGAATTCATAAACATTCAAAAAGGAAAGATATTATGGTAGCATACACACATGTCAAACAGAACCACTAGCCAGAGGAGAAGCAGTATCCAATATTCAGATATACTAATATCTCATAGTTAAACATACAGATATTAATAGGAATTATGCTATCAAAGATTAAAAACCAGTTGAATTTCAATTGATGACAGTTTTGCTACAATTTGACTTCAGGTTAGATTTGATGCAAAAATGTGTCCTGAACAAATTTGTAGTTTTCAAAGAAACATAGACTTTGCAATTGTTGATAAGAAGTTCCCAACATTTCATGCAATTTTTCTAAAATAAATTTGGCCACATAATTATAAATTTTTGATCTTAAAATATAATACATTTTCCCTTTGTTCTGAGAGAAAAAAACAGCAATGTAGGACAAGAGTTATATGCAGGTATGCCTGTAATAATGCTATTTGTAACAATGGAAGTAGAATTGGCATGAAAACATAACACTAAAGTAATGGCTATATTATGAGGCAGTGAAATCAAGAGAGATTATGTGACCATAAAAATAATTTTGAGGGTAGCTAATGAGTCAGGAAAAGACTCATTACTTATTTCTGAGTGAAAAATTATACTTCACATTTACAGTGACTGCAATTTAGCAAGCATATACACATGTGCAGCTAAAAGATAAGTATAACAAAATATTAACAGTGATTATAGCTAAGCATTAGAATAGAAGGTGATTTGAATGGTGGTGGCAACACCTTTAATCCCAGCACTTAGGAGGCAAAGACAGGTGGATCTCGGAGTTTGAGGCCAGTCTGGTCTGTATTGTGAGTTCCTGGACACAGAGGGCTATACAGAGAAACTATGTCTAGAAAAACCAAAAGGAAAGTGACTTTTATTGTTAATAGTTGTAATTATTTCTTCCAAAGTTTTCACAATGAGCATGTTTGTTCTTATAACTATTACTTTTGTTACCTAGGATTTCTCATATATTTTATCTGAGTAGATAGGATTGCCCCTGCAGAGGGAACCTATGTAGTAGGTAATAGGAGGGAATGAGTTTGGTTGCCTCTTGCCCTTTACCATTACTTTCTTGGGAGCAATTTGGCTTTTGAGACAAAACCCTAAAAGAAATTATTGGTACCTCAGCTCACAAGGGTGGCAGGGAAGTCTTAAGGAGGGGTCATAGCTATTTTCCAGGAAATTGCAGCCATCACTTACTTGACACCAGCTGAAAAGCTCATCACAGGGAAGAAGAGTCCGTCTGTGTTGAAATTCTCAAACATCCCCTGCACAGGTTGTCCATTGATTCGGAAAGAAATGCTAGGCACTCCAAGGTCAAGGCAGCAACTCACCACATCATCTGACTTCAGCAAATGCTGGTTGATGGAGGCCACAGCTCTGGGTATCCGGCCTAGTGAGTAGAGAACAGGAATAATAAAACTGTGGGGCCTTGGAGGCATGCAGCAGGGAGATAGACATACTTATAGGTTACTACTGGGGATGGGGAAACATAACAAGTATGCAATATAAGAAGAGTTCAGAATATGCCACTGTAGAGGAAATTCAATCCCTTACTGCATGAGATATGAGAGAGGAAACCATTTCTTAAGCTGGTGAGTGGATAGACACCATGCTTAACATGAACCGAGTCTCAGAGGGAGTCCTAAAGCTACTAAGACAAAGAACGATGAGTAAGTTTGACTTCTTCCTTTCCAGATTGTATCCCTTTGATCTCCTTTTGTTGTCTTATTGCTCTAGCTAGAACTTCAAGTACAATACTGAATAGATATAGAGAGAGTGGACAGCCTTGTCTTGTTCCTGATTTTAGAGGAACTGCATTGAGTTTCCATTTAGTTCAATGTTGGCTGTTGGCTTGCTGTATATTTGCCTTTATTATGTTTAAGTATGTTCCTGTTATCCCTGATCTCTCCAAGACCTTTATAGTGAAGTGGTGTTGGATTTTGTCAAAGGGTTTTTCAGCATCTAAATGAGATGATCATGTGGTTTTTCTTTTGCAGTTTGTTTATCTGATAGAGTACATTGATAGATTTTCGTATGTTGAACCACCACTGCATCTCTGGGATGAAGACTACTTAATCATGGTAGAAGATTTTTCTGATGTATTCTTAGATTCAGTTTTCTATTTTTGCATCAGTGTTCATGAGTGAGATTGATCTGTAGTTCTTAGTTGTGTCTTTGTGTGGTTTGGGTACTGAGGTAATTGTAGTCTTATAAAAAGCGTGTGGCAATGACCCTTCTGCTTATATTGTGTGGAACAATTTGAGAAGTATTGATATTAGCTCTTCTTTGAATTTCTGGTAGAATTCTACACTGAAACCATCTTGCCCTGGGCTTTTTTTGGTTGGGAAACTTTTGATGACTGCTTCTATTTCATTAGGGGCTATGGGTCTATTTAAATTGCTTATCTGTTCTTGATTTAATTTTGGTAAGTGATACCTATCCAGAAAATTGTCAATTTACTTTAAATTTTCCAAATTTGTAGAGTACAGGTTTTTGAAGTATGACTTAATGATCCTCTGTATTTCCTCAATATGTTATGTTCCCCTTTTCATTTCTGATTTTGTTAAGTTGGATGTTCTCTCTCTGCATTTTGGCTAGTTTGGATAAAGGTTTGTCTATCTTGTTGATTATCTCGAAGAAACAACTCTTTGTTTCATTGATTCTTCATATTTTTTTGTTTCTAATTTATTGATTTCAGTCATCAGTTTGATTACTTCCTGCCATCTACTCCTCTTGGGCAAGTTTGCTTCTTTTTGTTGTAGAGCTTTCAGGTGTGCTATTAAGTTTCTTTATGTGGGCACTTAGTGCTATGGACTTTCCTCTTAGCACTGCTTTCATGGTGTCCCATTAAGTTTGGGTATGTTGTTCATTCATTTCCATTGAATTCTAGCCTTCTTTCTTCCTTCCTTCCTTCCTTCCTTCCTTCCTTCCTTCCTTCCTTCCTTGGCCCAGGATTGATGCAATTGAGCATTGTTCAATTTCCATGAATTTGTAGACTTTCTGCAATTTGTGTTGCTGTTGAATTCTAACATTAAACTTTGGTGCTCTGATAAGATACAGAGGGTTATTCCAATTTTTTTCATATCTGTTGAGGTTTGCTCTGTTGCTGAGTATGTGATCAGCTTTAGAGAAGGTTCCAAAGGGTGCTGAGAAAAAATATATTCTTTAGATGTCTGTTAAAGTCTATTGAGTCATAACTTCTGTTAGTTCCTTTGTTTCCTTGTTAAGTTTCTGTCAGGTAGTCCCGTCCAGTGGTGAGAATGCGGTGTTGAAGCCTCCCACTATAAGTGTGTGGGGTTTTATGTGTGATTTAAGTTTTAGTAATGTTTCTTTTACTAATGTGGGTGCTTTTGTATTTGGGGCATAGATGTTCAGAATTGAGACTTCATCTTGATGGATTTTTCCCATGATGAATATAAAATAACTTTCTTCATCTCTTTTTGATTAATTTAGTTTGAAGTTTCATTTGTTAGATATTAGAATAGCTACAGAAACTTGTTAGGTCCATTTGATTGAAAAATCTTTTCCCAACCCTTTACTCTGAGATAATGTCTGTTTTTGAAGTTGAGGTGTGTTTCTTGTATGCATCAGAAGGATAGATTCTGTCTAAAATAAAAAAACACCAATGACAGTTTATGCTGGAGAGGTTGTCAAGAATGGGGAACACTCCTCCATTGCTTGTGGGAATACAAACTTGTACAGAATCTCTGGAAACCAGTATGGCGGTTCCTCAGGAAAATGGGAATTAATCTACCTCAAGACTCAGCAATTTCACTCTTAAGAATATACCCAAAGAATGCAATTCATACCACAAGGACATCTGTTCAACTATGTTCATAGAGGCATTATTTGTGATAGCCAGAACGTGGAAGCAACCTAGATGCCTCTCAACCAAAGAATGGATAAAGAAAATGCGATATATTACACAATGGAGTACTACTTGGCCACAAAAAACCAAAACCAAAACAAACAAACAAACAAACAAACAAAAAACAATGAAATCTCGAAAATTTCAGGCAAATGGATAGAACTAGAAGAAACCATTCTGAGTGAGGTTACACAGACATAGACAAAAAATACATGGTATGTACTTACTCATACGTGGATATTAGACATAGAACAAAGGATAACCAGACTACAATCTACAAACCCAGAGAAGCTAGGAAACAAGGAGGACCCTAACAGAGACATATGTGGACCCCTCAAGAAGGGGAAAGGGACAAGGTCTCCTGAGTAAATTGGGAGCATGGGGGAAGGAAATAGAAAGAGGAGGGGATAAAGGGAGGAAAGTGGAGAATATGAGGGATCACAAAGGTATAGCTGGGGGAAGAACAGAGAAGAGCAAGGAAAAAGATACCTTGATGAACCAGTTATGGGCTTACAAGAAACATGACACTAGGGAAATTCCTGGGAATCCACAAGGATGATCCCAACTAAGAATCTAAGCAATAGTGGAGAGGCTACCTTAAATGTCCTTCCCCTATAATGGGGATTGATGGCTACCTTAAATGCTGTTATAGAGCCTTAATCCAATAGCTGATGGAAGCAGAGATTCACAGCTAAACACTGAGCCTAACTACTGGAATCCAGTTGTAGAGAGGGAGGAGTGATGAGCAAAGGGGTCAAGATCCATGCTGGGGAAACCCACAGAAATAGCAGAACCGAGCAAGTGATAGTTCACAGACTCTAGATTAACAGTTGGGGAATGTGCATAAGACTGAACCAGGGCCCCTAAACATGGGTGTCAGTTTGGGGGCTTGGGCAGTCTATGGGGCCACTGACAGTGGAACCAGTATTTATCCCTAGTGTGCGAATGGGCTTTGGGAGCCTGTTCCCTATGGAGGAATACTCTCTCAGCCTAGATACAGGGGGGAGGGCCTCGGTCTTGCCCCAAATGATATGACAGACTTTGATGATCCCAAATGAAAGGCTTTACCGTCCCTGAGGAGTGGATGGGGGCTAGCAGTAGATTTATTGGAAAGAGAATGACCTTAGAAAAAACTTCATGAAAATGATAGAAGCCCTTAAAGAGGATATGAGAAAAATCCCTTAAAGAAATGGAAGAAAAAACAAACCAAAAAATACAAGAAATCAACAAATTTCTTAAAGAAAGCCAAGAAAAAAACAATTAAACAGATGGAGGAAACAATTCAAACAGTTCAAGACTAAAAATTGAAATAGAGACAATAAAGAAAACACAAACTGAGTGAATGCTGAAAATAGAAAAGCTGAGTAAATGATCAGGAACTACAGATGTAAGCATAACCAATAGAATACAAGAGGTGGAAGAGAGGATTTCAGGCACTGAAGATAAACTAGAGGAAATAGATTCATCAACCAAACAAAATCTTAAATCAAACAAATCCTTAACACAAAATATCCAGGAAATATGGGACACCATGAAAAGACCAAACCTAAGAATAATAAGTATAAAAAAAGGCAAAGAAGCCCAGCTCAAAGGTTCAGAAAACATACTGAACAAATCATAGAAGAAAACTTTCCCAACCTGAAGAAGGACATGCCTATGAAAGTTCAAGAACCTTACCAAACACCAAATAGAATGGACAAAAAAAAAAGCCAAAAAAGTCCCCTCAACATATAATAACATACCAAACATACAGAATAAATAAAGGGTATTTAAGAGAAGCTAAGGAAAAAGGCCAAGTAACACATAAAGGCATATGTATCAGAATTACACAGGACTTCTCCATGGAAACCTTGAAAGCCAGAAAGTCCTAGATAGATATTCTACAACCACTAAGAGACCCCAGATGCCATCCTAGACTACTATACCCAGCAAAACTCTCAATCACTACAGATGGAGAACACAAGATATTCCATGACAAAATCATATTTACACAATACATATCCACAAATTCAGTCCTACAGAAAGTTCTGGAAGGAAAACTCCAACCCAAGGAGTCATCTACACTCAGAAAAACATAGACAACAGACAATGTCACTTTACCAAAAGCCAGAAATAGGGGAAAAACTCACACACAATACCACCACCAAAATTAAATCCAAAGCAAACAAGAATCAACAATCACTGGTCATTAATATCCCTCAATATCAATGGTCTTAACTCATCTATAAAAAGACACAGGCTAAAAGAATGAATATGAAGACATAATCCATCTTTCTGTTGCATACAAGAAACACACCTCATCTTCAAAGACAGATGTAACCTCAGAGTCAAGGGTTGGGAAAAGATTTTCCAATCAAATGACCCTAAGAAGAAAGCTGGTATAGCTATCCGAATATCTAACAAATTAGACTTCAAACTAAAATTAATCAAAAGAGATGAAAAAAGTAATTTCATATTAATCACAAGAAAAATCCATCAGGATACAGTCTCAGTTTTGAATATCTATGCTCCAAATACAAAGG